GGGCAGCCCACTGGCCCACTGTGGCCGCCAGTCTCCCCAGATCCACCGGCCTAAGCAGCTCGGGTGCAGCCTGTGTCCCTGGGTACCAGGCACAGCAGCTGACAGGACAGACCAGGCCCGAGGTCTCAGGTGAGCACTAGCTGCCTCGCCGAGCAGGGGAGACACCTTGCCAGACAGGGCTGGCCTGCTATGCCCTGGGCCCGAGACACCCCAAGCACGCCTCTGTACATGAGCCCGGCAACGGGAAAGGCCCGGAGCCTCTGGTTTCAAGCCTCTGTTTGGAGACGTCCCAAGCAACCCGCTCGCCTACAGGATGAATAAACCTGGCTTCTCTCAGCAGCCGACATCTGCTCAGGCACTGAAAACGTTGAGCTGTACAAAAGCAGACACAGCACACGAGCCCGTGTGCCCTCCTGGCTGCCAGGACCCACTCCTGCCAAGGTTCTGGTCCTCCAGGTGCCCCGTCCACACCTGCCCTGGGACCACCCGGGGCAACTCCACCTTGGTGTCCTGCCACTTCTCTGGTTCAGGTGGCAGCACCAAGTCCGGGAGTCTGGGCAGATGGCCGACCTGCTTAGACAGTGGCCCGACCGTGAGCCCCACTTGTCCTAACATACGTGTCCCCACGTGGGTTTAAACCCCCTAGACAACTCCGTGAGTGGGGGCTAGCAGGGCTGTGGCAGTTGAGGCAGTGGACTTCCACACGGCCAGCTGAGGTTGGAGTCTGGACCTGGTAGCTTGAAAATAATGCTGGGCTGGGAACCAGCAGTTAGCGTAATGGCTGTGTCGCTGGACTCCCACGTAGTCGACCGCGGTTCGCGTCCCGGACCCGGTGGCTTAAACTCATGCCGGGCGCATGTGCGTGCGTGCCCAAGATCCCGAGAGGAGAATGGAGGAGAAGGGATTGCGGCGTGACCATCCCCCCTGGGGGTGATTTCTCGCTTTCTGGCTCTGCGTCTCTCTGTCTGTCTGGTGAGCGCACGCGCCCTATAGCAAAACCTCTCCAAAAAAAAAAAAAGAAAAAAAAGAAAATAAGGTGGGGCACAGGTGCGTGCGGGCCCGAGACCTGGGAGGAGAATGGAGAAGGGACTGCGGTGTGCCCACCCTCTCGGGGTGACTTCTCACTTTCCCTCGCAGTCTCTGCCTCTCCCCAGCAAGATCATGTACCCTATGGCAAAAACCTTACCAAAAAAACCAACCAACCAACCAACAGAATACTTGACTGAAACTTTCCTGAGGAGGGAGACTCCACCCACCGCTGCAGGAGACAGAACCAGGAAGGCCCCGGGCCCCAGGGCCGCACAGCTCACCTGCTGCTCGAAGAGCAGCGTGTTCAAGGCCTGTCTGCACGGCAGGATCATCATGGGGAAGCCCACGGCCACAGACATCATGAAGCCCACGTGGATCATCTCCGTCACCAGGTTGGAGGGGAAGTGCATGAGCACGTTCCCCGCGGTGGCCTCGGTGAAGCTCACATACCCAAAAAACCCCACCTGTTGGAGACAAGACGCAGCAGGTGGGAGACGGGACCGTGCGCACTGGCCTGGCACGCAGCGGCAGGAGCAGCTGCCCCGAGGACAGCCTCCGGAGGCCGACAGCAGTACCCGGGCATCCTGGTAAAACCCGACGGCCCATCCATCACTGTCGGCCCGCAGGACTTCCCGAAACAGAAGTGACAGCGCAGAGCCCTGTGCAGGGAGAGCAGGTGCCGGCACCCGTGACCTCCCCTGGGGTACTGAGGGGCGGCCTATGGGCCCGCACAGCGTTGGCACAGGCGCCAACAATGACCTCCAGGAGCACATGGGACAGCCCATAGAACATCGAGGGGTCAGGTCAGGGACAGAAGTGACAGCCTCAGCTCACTGTCCTCTCATTCCAAGACGCCGGCTGGCACGCAGAGACCGGACACGAGACTGTCCAGATGCCAGCAGTGACGACGTGCGTGGACCGGGAGACAAGCTCCTGTCTGACATTTTCTGACTCCTCCCGGATACGCCCCATGCCCTGGTGGATCTGGACATCTCAGCGAGGAGGGGAGAAGGGTCGCCAGCACAGCCTGGGTGGCACTAGGCCTGCAGCTGGGCCCCAGTACAACAGCAGTGGGGCAGCGGGGCCCCCGCCCCGCCACGGCGCTGCGTGGACAGGAGCTGGCACGCCTGTGACCCTGCAGCCGCCGGTCGTGCGGAACAGGGCCCCAATGCAACGCCCCTGGGAGGGCCGCATGCACTGTGAGGCTGACAAGGGAGGAGAGACGGGGACGGCTCCTACCATGACGTAGAAGGTGGTGACCACGTGGAGGGAAGAGGCGAAGATGGAGCTCATGGCTTTCACCGACGGCTCGTCCAGGCTGTCGTATGTGGGCAGGACCTGGCTGTGTAAGACGAGCCCCTTCAAACCGCAGTTCAGGCAGACCCCCAGCCCGCGGGGTGTGGCTCCTGCACCTCGGCCAGGCAGCTCCAGCCCCTTTCCACACGAGGCCGTAACCCGTGTGAAGCCAGATCTCGGGGCCCCGGGGGCAGCAGTGTCGTGACGGGGCCTGCTCAGAGCGCCCACGCGCATAGGCCCCGCAAGGCACTTGGGGAGGAAGGGCGGCTGGTCCAGAGGCTGAAGCGCGACACTCTGGAGAGGCAGAGCCGCTGCCACCATGGCCAGACCTGGCTGTCGGAGCCCCTGGGTGCAGGGGACGCTGACAGCCCCACAGCGGGACAGCCCCACCCGTGGCCTCTCACTTGTGTGCGGGGCAGGTCCCCAGGCTGCCCTCTGACACTGCGAGGTGTGGGCTGGGACAGAGGGAGAGACGCAGGTATGGGGACCAGCAGATGGCGCAGTTACGGCTGGACTCCCACAGTCAACCCAGACCTGTCCCAGACCTGGCGGCTCAAAACTCACACCAGACGCGTGTGCGTGTGTGCCCAAGATCCCAAGAGTAGAGGGGAGGAGGGGGGATTGTGCGTGGCCATCCCCTCGCAAGGGTGATCTCTCACTTTCTCTGTCTCTCTGTTTCTCCAGTGAGTGCAAGCACCCTATAGCAAAAAACCTCTCTTTAAAAAAAGAAAGAAACGCAGGTGTGGGAACAAGCGGCCCCTCCTAGGGCTCCCCACGCAGAGGGGGGGGCGCGGAGAGGGGTCCGGGGGGAGGGGCGCTGCCGCAGGACACAAACAGCCTCAGTCAGCAGAGCTGAGCCCAGACCCACCTTCGGAAGGGGGTAAGCACAGGAAACAGGATGCCTGGACGGCACCAGGAGCCAGCAGGGGACAGAGGGGAGGTGTCAGACACTGGCGCCAAACTGTCCCAGGCCCACAGATCAATACCAGGGGGCCAACAGCAGCGGTCAGGGGATGCTATGGGACAGGTGCCCTCCCCAGTCGGCCCAACAGTACGGGGAACAGCTGGAGCAGGGGTCCCAGGGAGAAGGTCTCATGGTGGCAGGGCTTCCCAGTGCTGACTGCCCGCTGGCAGGAGCCGAGCCCGCCCCAGAGTCTTAGCCTCGGGGACCAGGACCAAAGAGGGCCCCAGTCCAGCGCAGGACAATAGGGGACATGCCAGGGAAGCCATGGCTCCTGCATGGGGCAGGGAGGCCCCCATGTGGGACAGAGCTGGGACACTACTGAGGGGCCTGGGCCCACATGCAGATCAGGACTGCCCAGCTGCCCGCCCCGCCAAGCAGCCACAGTGACTAGAGCCTGCCGGAGCCAGGTGTCCCACTGTCCCCAGGGCACGGAGCAGGCGCAGGGCTTGGGTCACAGTGCCATGGAGCCACTTCTTGGGCACGGGATGGCGACTCCACATAACCACAACCACAAATCCATCTACCGGGTACCAGGACCAGAGAGGGCAGGCCAGAGACAGCCAGGAGAGGCCCAGCTCATGCCGGCCACAAGGAGGCCTGTCACACCGGAGAGGCCCGGCCCGTGCTGGCCAAGAGGAGGGGCATAGCACTGGGAGCCCGGCCCGTCACCCAACCGGGACGCAGAGAAGGGACGCGCACCCTGCCCATGGGTGTGCCGACCTCGGTCTGCGAGCACGGGAGGTCTGCACGGTGGCCGGTGTCAGCCCAGGTGCCCGCGGGCAGCAAGGTGGGCCTGTACCTAGCCGGGAGCTCGAGCCCTCAGGGAACCTGCAACGTCCCGCAGAGCCAACCCCGACAGGAGCACACCAGCTGCCGCGGGCCACCTGCCCGCGGGCTCACCTCACAGCAGCGAGGACAAGTGGCGGCGCGGGAAGTGAGACAGCAAGACGCGTGTTCTGTGGGGACCGAGCTGCCAAGAGAAGCCGGTGGGACACGCGACCTGGCCGCGCATGGGAGTGGGCGGAAGCAGCAGCGGAGCGTCCTGTCTTGTCACGGCAGCTCACGGCTGGCACGGTGCACACCCGCGAGCACTCGGGCCGCTCTGCCAGCCTCTGCGCGCTGGCCATTCCCAGCCGGCTCTGGGTCCGCCCCTGCTGTCAGCCCACTGCCGCCCGACGGGCACGCGTCACACTCCTGCCACTGTGGAGACCTGCACCCCCGGGGTTCTGCTGCCAGGGAGCCCCCACACGCGCACATGCACATATGAGCACACAGCCTCACAAGGCGCCCCGCAGTGATCTGGAGTCCAGGTCTCTGCAAGGAGCTTTGACGAGTTCTCAGAAGAAACCTTGGGCCCCCGCCCTCAGGTGACAGCTGGCTCTACGCCCCGCAGCAGTCCTCGCTCATGGGTCCCAGCAACAGCCTCAGAAAGGCAACTGAGCTCCCGATCAAAGCATGCGACGTCCCTTGATCTGGACGAGGTAAAAGTCCTGAGAGAAGAGACGCCCCCCTCCAGCCGCCACACCGGGCCCACGTGGAGCCGAGACAAAGAGGGGTCTGCTGTGGGCACCACGGGCCCGCAGACCTCCACTCCCAGCCACGGTACTTACGACTGGCAGGCGAGCGGCACGCA